CTTTCAGAGAGAGTATTTTATAGTCTATACACATTCAGAAGTAGCTGGTGGTTTTAGGAGGTAGACTTGTGGTATGGCAGCGGGTCAACAGGCTGTAAGCACGTGCTGTTCAGAGTTAATGGCCAGCTCAATACAGTCCATTTGTTGGACTTTTCCAACAAATCCCCTGCTTCTAAGTCTCTCTTACTGTTACGTTCCCCACTGCCAAGTTATGCATGGCTTTTACCAGGAAACTGACTGATTGACCTCACAGGGGATTTCACCAAGGGGTATCTTTATGGGTTGGTGGTACAAGATGTACCACTCTGCAGTGATTTTTAGAATCCAGTGTATTGAATACTTCAGATTTGTCTCTAAAAGCTCCATATAACATTTTCATGCAGTAAAAATAAACAGAAGAACTTGTGTGTTTCTCTCTCTTTCATCCTAGTGCATATTCAAAACTAGTCATATTATTTACTGCAGCTGTTTCTGGGCACTTTCTTTAAATATGCTAGAAAGATGTTGTTGTTTCTGAGGAAAACTAGTTTAGACAAACATTCTTACACTTTAATTTGACTTAAAAGGCAACAGAATTTTAAAAAAAAAAGTTTATTACAGTAAAATACCAAAAATATGCTCCAAATGTAATGTGTCAAGTAAAAATTGTGCTGAGGTGTAAAAATGAGACAGTTGCTACACTTTGCCTATAAGATGCTTTGGTGTAATTGGTAGCTGCAAAACAAATGTAGCTTGAGCACCCCATCCTTTTCACCCACTCACCTTTTCTAACTGCCTCCGTTGAGGAAATTTATCACGTCATGTTTTTACAATGTTTTATCAATCTTTGACTTGCATCTTGAATGCATCTGCAGCTTGTCAGCATTCCCTGGATTAAATTGCCAGCAAGACATTTGCAATTAACTTCAACAGCACAAGCCTTCACTTTGTTTCCCACTGACCGTAGTTGCGTGCATGCATATAGTCCTCGTCCCAGAAGAGAGGAACTACTTCCTGTTTGGCTCAGGAACAAATGAGAGACAGTTAATAATTTTAACACTTGAAAAATAACATTGATTCTGTCACTTTGAAGTCTTCATCTAGTTTGTAAAGCAATTAAGTAGGACTTAGGACACTGTTGTCCCAGACCAAAAGGCCTTAGGACAGAAAACAGATATGCTGTATTACTCTGGACATTAAGTGCTGTTGCCAGGTTTGAGAGGTTTCATTTTTGTTACTGGTACTGTGCCTATTTGACTTCGGGTGAAAATGTACTGTGGATAGTGAGCTGAATAAAACAGAAACTCTGTTTTTCTCTTCATGTTTTGGAGTGTCTTTAAATGATGCTGCCTGATAGTATGTAACAATTCCACGTCTGTAATGTTGGCAATACCTGACACATTAGCATGAATACACTATAAATTGCATATCTTCTAGAGGCAGTTGCCATGTGTTTCTGTTCAGTTGCTCTCTTCGTTTTTGTCCTGTTTTGTTATATTATAAAAATAATGGAATGAATTAAAACGTGATATGAACCTTTGCCCTGTAAGTCAGGCTGAATGTATTTTTAGATTGAGTCAAGGAAATATTTTTGGCTTTTTTCAGAATTAAGTCTTTGGCAAGTGCCACAAGAAGAAGCTGTTCTTGCATAATGTGACCTTAGTATGAAATGAAAAGTTCTGGAAGTATTGAAACATTTTTCCACTACAGATTTAATGAATCCTGTTACTGATTTAGGTACTTTAAAATATCTGGAAAAATAATTTCGTTCCAACTTAGCTTGGTAGCTGGAATTATATTAGGATTTTTCATATAGAGATATTTCTCTAATGTCGGCAGTGGACCTATATAGGTAATACTCTCTTACTGACTGATCGTTACTTCACTTTGACTGGCTCATGACATTGGCCTTTTATCAAGGCAGTTGCTTTTACACATACAGTTTATGACAGAGTGAGTTACTATAGTTCAGGTTAGTATTTATTATATTTCAGGTGAATGATCTTAAGATCACCAAATTCCAACTGTTTACCTATTTTCAGAGTTGTGAAGTGCTAGAAAGACTTCCTGGTCAGTTTTACCAAGTGGGACCCTAAGTCATTAAAGATCAGGCAATAATTCTGGTAACAGGAAGACTACAGAGGTGTGAAAAATGAATCAAGCAGTTATTTTATGTCTAATAATATTCATTTTAGATGCTGTCATGGGAATGAGAGCACATTGTTCAAAACTGTCTGTTCTGATGGATCCGAGTGGCTGTGGATCTTTTTTGTGTATCTGAGGAGATAAGCAATGATGTCAGCTTTTTCCAGGTTCCTCTCCATCTGCTTGAGCAGCACTAGGCACTTAATCTACAGTAGGAGAGTTTTGAGCAGAAGAGCAAATGTTTTTTCTTGAATTTGGTTGGGTGCTTTTGTGGTAATATTGTAAATGAGATGCTGTAGTTCTAATAAGGAAGTGGCTTATATTAAAAAGTTGAGTGAAACCTGTAAAAACTAGAACACCAAAACTTAGCTTAGGTGATTATTTAGCTATAGTTGAAGGGAAAGGAGAAAGAGGAGAAGGTTTTGATACAGGGTGTATGATGTTTTTCATCGTCACCATAATAATAACAATAATGGGTTCTTTTTACTTGTAGCCTAGCTTTGACTTATACTAAGTTCCTGTCTTCATATATTTTTGTAGTTCCGAGCATTACAGTTTTTTGTAGGGTTTTGGGTTTTTTTCTAGTTCACCTGAGAGTATGAAGGAGTCACTGACATACAGGAGCTGGAGCATGTGAGCTAGAATTGAGAGAGTTGTCAAGACTGAAAAACACAATAAACTATATTTATATATTTGTATATAAAACACAAGAGACTATAGTCTTTTGAGTAGCTGAGAGATGGATTTTTAAATTTTCTGGTTGTGGCAATGTAATTTAAATTAGGATTACATAGACTGCTATTATAAACTATCAAACATCAACGTGAAACTGGAAATGCTGACCTTGGAAGTGGATACAATTTCATAGAATCATTTAGGTTGGAAGAGACCTCCAAGATCATCAAGTCCAACCACCGAGCCACCAGGGCTCCAAAGTTCTCTGCTAAAACAGATCAGAATCTGTCAGGTTTGGAAGGGACCACAAGGATCACCCAGTTCCAACCCCTCTGCCATGAGCAGGGACACCTCCCACTAGACCATGCTGCCCAGAGCCTCATCCAGCCTGGCCTTAAAGACCCCCAGGGATGGGGCCTCAACCACCTCCCTGGGCAACCCATGCCAGGGTCCCACCACTCTCATGGTGAAGAACTTCTTCCTCACATCCAGCCTGAATCTGCCCACTTGTTCATAGAGCTTCAGTCTTGTGCTACTGCATCAGCTACTTTTGATTGGAATTATCTTTCACTACAGTTTTTTCTGAGTTGTAGAGGAGACCATATAGAATTGTTAAATAGGGAGACAGGAGCTGGAAAGCACCTTTAAAAGGAAAGCTGTAAGCTGAACTGTAGAAGAGTACTTAATATTCTCAAGATACTTGAAGTACAAGTATTAATGTATGACCTATTGAGGTTTTGACATAGAATTGTAGCACAGGCAGAAGTGTTGATCAGAGTTTGTATCCTGAAATATTCCGTATTTCTAGTGCAACACATTACTGAAGGCCACTGTAAAAACGCAGTTTTAGTTAAGAAGCTGATCCCAGGGTGAAGGATGAAATCAGATTGTAAGATGAGTTCTTCGTGAGGCATTAATGATAAAGCTTTTCATAATCTTTCATGCTTTGGCTAAAAATATTAGCACTGTAAAAATTCTTCAGGGGGCAGAGTTAAGGTGGTAGCTGCAGACTGATCAAAACATAAAAGAGGCACAATTTGCCTTTTTTATGGGGAGGCCTCTTTCAGACCCATCATATGATGGATTTGAAATGAAAGTTTAATGGACTTTTAGTTTCTCAGACAGCCATTTTTGTACAGCTTCGTTATTAACAACAATTTAGTCTTAGCCAGCTCTTTTTTTCGGAGCTCTCAGTAATTCATTTATCTTATTTGTTTAGCAGCAATATAAGAAAAAATACTCAGATCATAAACGAAGTTACCTATTATAAAAAAAATGTAAAACCAGTCCCCAGTAAATTTTGCAGAAGCATTTAATCCACAGTTGTTTGAGTTAAAATGTAACAAGTGTAAATAGCATGTAAATAATGTGAATTGATTTCATACTTAACCTGCATGCAATAGTATGTGAGCTATAATTTTTTCCTCCCAGCACTATATGAGTAATGATGATGCCATTTTCATGACTGATGTTGTGTAAAATATTTTTTAACTAATGTTTGTATTACGGAGACTGTTTTGCTAACATCAGACAATAAGCCCGGGGAAGCAAGGGGATGTCTTGCAAAAACAAACACTTATCATTCAGTAAAACAAAATTTCAAAATATATGAATGCATTTTTACAGGTTCTGATCCAGAACCATTAATGTTATTTCGATCTTTTACTTCAGTCGCAACCCAGCGTATACACGTTCTTGATCATGCCAACTGTTGTAGTGCTCTGTTGGGAGTGATACAGACTTTCCTTCCCAGCAAGGTGGGAAGTTCTCCCCCGTCACTTTTGCCTTCTGAGGTTATGTGGGTGCAGCTCTGTTTAGCCACTCGGATCCATCAAGTGTTTTGCACAGGGAGAAGTGAAAGTCTGAAACTTCACCCATCAAGGCTCTTTAGAGGGGTAAATGGTGCAGGGGCAGTCCTACATATTATGAGGCAACCTTTGAGAAACTGCTGAAAAGTTTCCAAGCTGTCTTTGAGTTTTCTTTCTTTTATTGCAGCATAAACATACCAAGTGTTTGAGCTAAGTTTTCTGGGCATAGCTACTAATGTAACTCTTCTTTTTAGCAGCCACACAGCTTTGTCCCCTGGCATCAGAGAACATGTAACAGTGTAATGCACCTTTGGGGGTTTGATTGGGCCACCAGCATGCAAAGGTAATTTCCTCTGATCAAAGTCCTTGTGTTTCTGTCCCTGTCCTCTACAGCATTGCGGAGTCGTTCAGGACGGTCCATCATCAATGGAAACTGGGCAATTGATCGACCTGGGAGGTACGAAGGTGGTGGGACAATGTTCACTTACAAACGCCCCAACGAAATCTCCAGCACTGCGGGAGAGTCGTTTTTAGCTGATGGTCCAACAAACGAAGTCCTTGATGTCTATGTAAGTTTCTTGTATTTAATCTTCCTGATGGAAAAAAATTGTTCTGTTTATATTTAACATACAATACTAAAGTTTGCATTCAGTTCCAATACTTTATTACTCTTTTGTTCCTTTAATTTTGAAACAGTATATCTGATACTTTACTATTGCTTGCTGTTGCTCCCATCTTACTCCAGATCACAGGAAATCTGAGTAGCAGCAGAACCTTTTTCTCTGAGGCTGCACTGTTCCAGTAAAGAGAGTTTTACTTGTTCAGTAAAATAGAGGTAAAGCATACAAATGTCTGGGCTTTTCTTTTGTGGACTGGATTTTCTCTAGATACTTTAGTACTCAAGCAAATTTGGCGTGGTTTAATTTTGACAGTGAACTGAAGCAAATACCTGAATTAGACAAGGCCTCTCACAGAGTGATATCATCTCGGTTTTCTTTGAAAGAAACAGAAGTCAAAAAAACTATAGAATGTGGGATTTGAGGTCAGTTTCAATACCAAGCTGTGCTAGGAAACCATAGGTAGGTAACAGCTATTTGAGAAATGGAGAAGGTGAATTGTAGCTGAAAGGGAGGAATCATATTGAAAAAGTTATTTACTTCAAATGGGACAGGTTGTTACTGCATCACATTGAAATAAAAAATACAACTTGGATTGATTACAGCTTATTCACAGATACATGATGTGTCCTGAGGTTATATGCTTTCACATGGTAAAATTAATTGGTAAGACTAGATTGTAACTGGTAATATGGTTGTTTCATCCAGCTACAGCTGTTTGCCCTTAAGTGCAGTATGGGGTGGAAAAGTGTGCTGGGTTGTCTCACAGAGAAACAAATATTATTTGCTAATTACTCAGCTGGGAAAGGTTGGTTGGCAGAACTATTCCCCATCTGCTATATGGTGTCTTACTGAAGCATTGTAACAATTATGCAAACATTACTTCTTTCCGGATATTTTTAGACTGATTGCAGTGTAAGACTGGCAAAAGCCTGGAAGATGAAATGGTTGGCCTCCTAGATTTTTCAGTGCAGGCTCCATGTTTTTAAAATATGCATGTCATGGTTTAGTTACAGGATGCTCTGAGCTGAGGTTTGTTCTTAAGTTTTTATCATCAGCTGATTGATGCCTAATATATAATGACCCAGACAGAAAAGGATCAGGAAATGGATTAAACAGATATTTCCAAAGTAATATCATACCATAAAAAAAAACCCCTAAGCTTATATTTATCATATTTTAATGTTTTAGTTTAGGCTTAGTCTATTCTTTTTTTGCTTTTGTAGTGAATATGAGAAAGCTGGTACGGTGGGTGTAGCTTTATCAGTTTTGCTCCTGTGGCTGCTACTATGGATTGCCACATCTAATTTGACTGGACTCTTTTCCAAGATGTTTCTTGTAAATATGAGGATTGCTACAATACATTATAAGCTGATAAGCTACAATTCATTATTCATTAGAGTTTAGTGTCTTTTTCAATATAGTGTGAGGAGATAAAAATGGATAGCGCTAGATTTAAAAAAAAAAAATCATTGTTGTGGCATAGTCTCTTGTATGTGTTTGAAATTCGTAGCTGCACAGATACAGATGTCTTTTTTCAGACCTTGTCTTGTAGTTCCTGAATTGTGCCACTCTCTTCTCATCCATCCTCACTATCTTTATGCTCTGTATAGAAAAAATGAAGAGGTTTGCAGATAGGAACTCCAAATGGCTTTCTGTTCCTTTTTCCTGAGATCATGCTGTCTTTCTTCCACTCTAAAAATGAAGAGGAAAGTTAGAGTAGGCTATAATTAGCAAGATAAAAAAAGGTTTTTTTCCAAATATACAGTGCTACGAAGACTTAGATCCACTAACTCAAAGGAAAACTATTGTATGATTCCAGGTACTTTCCTGCAGGAAAGCTGTAACAATATATTCATAGGGGTTTCGTCAGTTAAGCTCTTTATGACATGTGACTATCAGTTATTTTGAGAAATGGTTCACATGTTTTATTCATCCCATTGGAAGACTGTTTTGGAAACATCGTAAGTGCAGGGTCTTGTTTGTGAAAGGTGCAGGGTCCTCCTCTGCGGAAGCCCACTTCACAGTGCTCAGTTCTCTCAGGACCAAACACAAAGAGGGTGTATAACCCTTACAAAAAACATTACAGGCAATGCATTATTAGATGATTCAGAAAAGTGTATGATCTCTGAGGGACAGAGTTTAGAGCAACAGCTAACACACTTGGCAAGGAAAAGGTGCTTTTGACACAAGGAAAACCAAAAGTCTGAATCCCTGGTTAGTGTTAATTGGTGTGACGACTTTAGTGCAACCTTGAAAGTAAGTGTGCTGTGCTGGGTCAGAAAGCCATTTGCATAGTATGACTTTATTCGTTTTGGCCCATAGTTTGTCAGAAATGAAGAGCTAGTGCAAGACCCGGTGTCTGTTTCATATTGGTTTGGTTGGTTGGGTTGGTTTTTTTTTTTCTTAAAAAAAAAGGTATTTAATGTGTAATATGAGGCTTCTCCCAGGCCAGTCCTCACAAATTGTTCAGAACATTTTAAAGCAGCAGCCTCAGCCGAAGCAGTATTTGGAGTAACCAAAGTCAAACTAGTGGAATTGGCAGCTGATGGCATCTCTGCATTTCTGGTGCAAGTGTGCTCGGGCTCTTAGCAGCAGCAACACATTACAAGCCAGTTGGGTATGAAGTGTGCTGCTAACAGTTTTAAAAAGCTTTCATAAAGTCCTGTCTTGTTCAGGTCTTATTATGCCTAACTGCTTAAACAAGCACACAAGAGGTGACACCGAGTTTCAGAGGCGTGCTCATGCCACCTCACGTGGGCTTGTGCAGCAGCATTCTGAAAACAGTGGGCTTTGTTTTTGCATTTAAAGGAGACAAGCTTAGGGATCCCACGTGCCTCCCATAAAGAGCACCTTGAATAGCGTTGCTGTGGCTTGCTGCAAAGCTAGCTCTGGCAGTCGGTCTGCACCTCCATTCAGCTGAAAGTTAGAGTGAAAGGACGCAGGGGGGTTGCACGAGTGCTCTTCCGCTGCTGTAGCAAATACGTGGGCCTTTAATCTTTTCTCTTGATCAGCATTGAGCAATGCTTATGGTGAGAGGGGCATAATGGTAGTAATTTTAGCTGGTTGATTGAGTCTCCTTTGAGTGGTACAAAGGTAGCTGCATGGTGATGAAAGGAACAGTTTGACTTGTGAGATGGTACGCACAGAATAACATGTATGTGCTGTCATATGCTCTGGTCAAGTACAACTGATAAACCTTCAAAAAGGCAGTTGGTTAGATTTGTATGTCGGGGACTGTGGTATTTTTTTTCTCTCTGCTTTGTTTCTTTCTGTTTTACGTTTCCTCAGGCATCTGTCAAGCCCCTTCTGTCTGAAAGTGTTTTGGTGACCTTAGGACCATCTCTCCTGGTGCTGAGGCCTCGTTTGAGACTCTGCCGCCTGTGCTGGCGAGAGGCAAGGCTGTGGCTGGTGCAGCCCACTGCCACACCTTAGCCCTGAGCATATCACATTACCTTTTTCAAAGAAAATTTAGAGAAACGGTTTCTCTGCCATCACCAGCTAGCTGAGGTTGATAACATAGGAACTTGTATTTTCTTATTTTTTTCCAGAAACAAGGTTCTCTTCTTGCATTTTTTGGACAGTCATAACCATTGTTTCTATCCTGACCTGTGATAAATGTTATGTAGCTGATCAGTTCAAATACCTATTTAAGCTTTAGTAGTAAAACAAGTGGAAGAAGTGAATATATGACTGTTTTTTTCTTTTTAGATGATACATCAGCAGCCTAACCCGGGAATACATTATGAGTATATCATACCAGGAGACAATGTCATTAGTCCTCAGTTGCTTGCTCACAGGAAGCCAGGTAAAATGCCGCTATTTCCTTCTGTTAAACACATTTTGTTACCCAATAAACTAGTGGAGAAATTCATACCATTAAAGTCAAGTGTAAATGCTGCCATTAATTTGGGAGAGGCCCAGAATTTTACCCTACATGTCAAAAGAGAATTCTGCATAGATTCAGTAACTTCAATTAATTAATTCTAGCAGAGATTATTTATACTATAGCAGGGAATCTGGTCACATATTTCTACTTTCATTAACAATTTTGATGTTAAAATGTTAACTGTGGCTTTGCTTGAGCTGGAGTGTTCTAACCATGTCTCAGAAATAAACTGGAACATGATTTCTCTCTTCAGAGATTGAGATAATTTAATGCAACACCGGGCAAGTTTCTCTTGCCTCTCCCAGATGGAGAGGATCAAACACAAAACTGTTGCCTTCCCAAGGTAGAACCTAGACAGCTCATACTCCTGCCTGAGCTGTGGATATGTGCTGTGTATAGTCATATGAACTACTGAAAGACAGTGGAAAATTTGCAAGCAAGTTTAGTCCTAACTGTAACGTTCATGACTTGCCTTGACAAATTCCTAAGTGTGTTTGCAGTCTGAGCAGCTGCTGTGCTGTGGCATGGCCAGGCACAGAATACAGAGAATGGTACAGGAAAAAAAAGCTTTGGGAAATTTTGACACTGGGTGCATTAACTCTGTGGTGTGTTTGGAGAGTCTTCTGGTTTTAATGTATTTTCTGGCTGAGACTTGATTATCTTAGTTTAAAACAACATAGTCTTTGCAGGACTCTATTAGGAGGTCTCTGTGTAGCAGATTAAAGCTGCTTTCAACATTAATGATGCTCCTGTGATTATTAGTGGATGAAAACAGAGACTGATACTTGCAAGTTTGGCTCATTATTATACTTCTTTGTTATTGTCCATCATCAGGGGAGCCTTTGAATGGTCAGTTAGGAATGCCAGAAAGTACAGATCAAGAGGATGCAGATTTGCACAGGGAAACAGACATTCTCACTGGACAGTCAGCTGGAACTTTTCCAGTTATTCAGCCGGGAAGATTTTCTTCTCATCAGCCAGAAAACCAGGTGCCTGCTGTTCAGCCAGCAAGACAAAGCCGAGAATACAACTGGAAACAGATTGGAAAAACTGAGTGCACTACTACATGTGGGAAAGGTAAGTGCTTCATCCACCATGCACAGAAAATAAGATGACACACAGGAGAGCTCCAGTGTGGGAAAGGAGGAGCATCGAGGGAAGAAGCAGTATTTTTATTCAGCAGCTCTTGTATGCACAAGGCATTGCTGGACCTGTTGTTTTCTGTTACCTTACAAGTGAAAGAGTGGGTGCTATTATGTGTGCTTATATTTAAATCAGTAGAAACAACAAAATTAAAAATATGAAATGCAAACTATGTAAATTAAAAGGGAATACATGGCATTTGCATCTGAAAGGAAATACTTCAGGACTTTATGGCAAGCTGCTCTGTCTCAGACCCTTGATACACAGCTGCTTTCCTCAGCATTCTTTGGCATTCTTTATCCTTCTGTTTGGCCTCTAGCTTGGTCAGATACACTCTCCGTGCTTTTTGTGTCTTTGTCGGTAGTTTTCTGATCTTTATGGGAAGGTTTCACAGGGGTTCCATTAGCCATATCTGCCTTATTGGATGTTGCTGGAACAGCAACAATGTGACGTCAGAAAACTTAAATTTTCATAGGGGATAAGTGGGAAGGAAGAGGGACAGAGGAATTGGTGAGCTTTTGGGGTCTGATGAATACACTACATAGAACTTGCCAGATTAATCTTTGCCGTAAGACATTCACAATGACCACGGACTCAGTAATGCATGCCACAAGCAGTTATTTGGAAGAGTAAGCTTTTGCAGTAGTAAAAGTGAAATCTGTTGTACTATACATATACAACAATAGCCATGCTCAAAAAAATCACAGCACTTTGAAATAAAGATGTACCAGTGAGGGAACTCTACTGACTGTCACCACTTCTTACACATTGAGAATATCTGCTTCCTAATTACTTTTAGAGGACTCTGTGAGTTTGTCCAAAGCCAGAGCTGTAGCTACAGGTAGAGCTAAAACATCCAGCAAAATTGATACCAGTCAAAATTGCTTCACAGTCCTTTGAAGAAACTTCTTGGGTTGGAGAAATCACTGCAAAAGTATTAGAGCTAAAATACAGCCTATAAAAGTCAGAAGACTTTTTGAAGTCAGACGTTATGTGGAAAAAAGGAGGGAATGTAGACCAGAATTACATTGGTTGGCATTTCAGTGCTCTGTGTCCTTAATACAAGTCCTGTGGGCAGAATGCTTAATTGCACCTGAATGTTGTTTAACATCAATCAGTGAGTGTCACCTGATGAGTGTCTGAATTATAATTAATTCAGAAATAAAATTCAGAATAAAATGGCTGCTGAGAGCAAAATCCTGACACTGTTGAGACTGTGCAAGGATTCCTTCTGACCTTAGTGTGAGAAGCCTGTGAATCTCTGGTGCCGCTACTGCATTTCAAGTCAAACTGGGTTATATAGGCTGATAAAAGATGGAGTGAAAAAAAATGGAAGAAATCTTGTACTATTCAGGGTTTTCCATTCATTTTGTAGGATTCACATTTCAATTTCGATGATCGTAGGACACTATCTTCTTTTTTCCTTTTTCAGTGTTTTGCTTTTTTCTGCTACTTTATTGCTTCATGCAGAAAGGTGGACGATACATGGACTATAATTTAATTTTTTTTTCCACAAATGAACCCATCAAAGCTAAATAACTACACGAAATTTTATATTGGAAGAAGAAAGAAAGAAAAAATATTTTTGTGCTACCTAATGGAACAGGGAGGATAAATTAACAGTTTTAATGAAGCTCTTTGAGATTTCAAAGCACATTGCAGTTAAACTTTAGCTGGCAAAAAAAAAATCTTACCTTTTTTTTTTTAAATGTGAAAATCGGTGCCATGGGAACTGCCATCAGCTATTGTCCCAGATTTCCATTTAAGATGACTGAGCAAATGGATCTGCTAGAATTCAGACTGTGGAGGATTTAATGGTTGAGAATGGACGTTGTCTCAAATTAGCCTAACTAGGCCTGAGAGTAGCTTTGAACGACCTTGAACACTGACAAATAGAGAAACAAGACGGTGAAGCAAGAGATAGGAAGGAGAAGGAACGCAGAGAGCTAAGATAAGAAGGAAGCAAGAGGAAAACAACAAGGCACGTGGTGGCATCTGAAGAACAAATCGCAAGAAGAGCTTACGCGCATGGACAAGTGCTTGTAGCCAGTTAGCTGGGGGCACGGGGCGTGTGGCCAGCTGTGTGTACTGTACAAGCAAGGCTTGTAGCTGAAATAGAGGTCTTCGATCATCACTCTGATAGAGTTGCTGAAGCCCATTTACAGCTTGTCTCATCATCGGACAGTGGGGAAACTGCTACAGCATCCTGTCAAGGAAGTGAAGTAGCACATCTTCCCTCTCTCTTGTCCAGAGAGATGGGGGCTGATGCACTGCCAATTTCTTCAGTCCTGATGCCACAGGAACTTAATCCACATCTTATTTAAGAGTGCAGCCCGTGCCTTATAACTGTTAGCTACACCTTGGATATTACTTGGAATGTGTCATTTGTTACCAGTCAGGGCAACACGCTTGTTACTTTTTTAAAGAAGAATTGGAAAGGAGGCTAAAGAGTGAAAGCTACTATTTTTTTCCTTAGATTTCAGAAAATATAATAGTTTTTTCTGAAGTATTAATGTCAGTTAGCGGGTGCAGTGCGAAGTCTTACTTTTGACAGCATTAAATTCTTGCATAAATAGAATTTCAGAGGGAATTGCAATTACACATTTTCTATCCTGAAACTGAAGTGTGCCAGCCAACAGTTACCATCAAGTATGGCCACTCTCATTTTATTTGAAATCATAAAGTCATAATTTAGAATTACTACAAATCTGTAGCATGATATTTCTTTATTTCTTTAATACATGGATGAATGTATTGATCTCCTTTCTTTCTGTTTCTTGATCACAAGGATAAGTTACTTGCTGGTGGCATGACAAAGGAGGTTGATTTCAGTAAACCCAGGATGAGGCATTTGAATTGTTAATTACAAAACATAACAATTGTAAAAAATGACTTAGCAGTTACCATTAAATCTAAAGAGATTTTGAGCTCCATGAGGTGAAAAAATGTGGAGCTAATTAAACACAGATCTTAGTCAAAGACTGTAAGTTCAAGCAGATAATTAGAAATGGAAACCTGGAGAAAACCGACCTTCAGTCAGTGGCCTAAGACTTTTAGGTTCAATAAACTTATGAATCAGTGTCACTGACAGTGCAGGTTTTAGTAAACCCACCTTGGAGGTACGTAAGCTTGAACAGTTGCAACCTAGTCTTCTCCAACACTCCTTTTAGACATGAATACTGGCAATGATGAAGCTGAATGTTCTGTGCAAATCACTTGGCCTTCTAGGCAAAGTGGGACTTATTTTTGCCTTTGACTCAGAGGCATAGCAGTTTGGGTTTTGTAAATGTGCAGACATATATTTTGATCTGAGGAAAAGAGAAGTCTGTTTTACAGAAAGATGTAGCTCTTGTACTGATAACTCATGCCCTGCTTCTTCCTATCTTGCAAGTAACACTGAAAAAAAAAACCACTTTAATCTTTCTGATGATTGGTCTAGAGACACTGCTGGATAGGATGCATTCCTGACAGAGTCATAGCTTTCCTACATAAGCAAGAGCAGTGTGACTGTGAGCAGTATGAGTTGTGCTGAAACAGCGCTTGCTTAAAATGACCCGAACGTTCTTTTTTATCCGATTCTATTTCTGATTGCAAACACTGAGAATTAGGCATTTATGACTCTCTTTAGGTTGCACACTATATTTCCGCAAATTCTGAAGTAAGTCAGTATCTTTTTACTTTAAAAATGGAGCTTTATTCAGCACAACCACACATCATTCTTGCATTTCAAAGGCAAAACAACAAACGTGAAATCTGAGAAGGAAGGTGTTCCAGGAGAAGTTTGTGGGGCAAAAAAGTAAACTGTGTACCTGCTTGTCTCATTGAATAGCATTTCACTTGGGCTTATTTCATTCTGTGGAAGAAGGTTCGGTCTAACCTAAGCAAAATGTTTCTCTTTCAGTTCAGAGTTAATTTTCCTTTTAGTGGTTGCTTTCTCCGCATAATTCTGAGTATCTGAACTAATAAGGCTTCAATACCAGTTAAAAAATCTGTCATTTGGAGTTACTTTTTGGAGGATAACCTAAAACAATTAAAAGGGCACAATTTTAAAGTCAACGTGTCTAGCTTCAAGTGATTGAACTGGCAGTTGTGGGTTGTACCTTGACCACTTCAGCTGAGCCCTGCTTCTTTTGTAACCGAAGTGCTCCTTTGACCACGGAGGTGTCCTGTGCCATTGCTGTGCCACAACGAGGGGAAGGGTTGCTGCTGCCTCACGTGGCGTAAACATGACTGAGAGTCGGCAGACTTCTGTACTACTTTCTAAAAAAATTAAAAGAAAGATTTTCCTAGTCTCCCTTTTGCTGTTTATGTACTTAGAGAGTTGCCTTTCACATCCTTTGCCATATTCACCTCTAGGTGGGTCCTAACACCATTCCGGCACAATCAGACAGCATCTTTGTATCCTTCAGGATCACCTGCCTCTACTTACACCTCTTGTACTTCTTTTTTATGTCTAAGTTTATGTAGGAGCTCTTTGCTTACCTGTGCAGGCCTCCTGCGAGCTTTGCGTGGTTCAGGATGGACCTATCTTGAGCTCAGAGGAGGTGGATTTTGAATACCAACAGCTTTCCTGGACCCCTCTTTTCTGTAGAGCTTTATCCCGTGGGATTCTTCCAAGTGGATGTCTGAAGAGGTTTGGGTCTGCTTTTCTGAAATTCAGGGTTGCGGTCCTGCTTTTTGCCTTGTTTCCTCCTCGTAGGATCCTGAACTCTACCATTTCATGGTTACTACAGCCAAGGCTGCCCCTGATTTTCACATCCCTGACCTTCTCTTCCTTGTTTTTATGTATCTGGTAGAGTGGAGCACCTTTCCTGGTTGACTCCTTGACCACCTCTGTCAGAAAACTTGTAGATGTACTGCAACTTTTCATTTACCAAATGCAAATAGGCATGTTAGCACCTTGCTCTCTGTCATCATTTTGGTAGTTAATTTGCAATAGTAATGGAAGCAAAGTTTCGTCTTTCTGCTGTACCATGAAGGCTACTTAAAGACTAAATGTTAAGTACAGAGAGTAGTAATTTTAAGTGAGTCTGTAGTCTTTCATAATTTTAAACTCTAAGCTTTATCTTACGAATCTTCAAAGAACAGGTAAAGTGGATAGTATTCTCATGTATTTACTCACCACATAACTCTAAAGTAAGGAGGGTAAAATTTTCCTCCTCTCAAGCCTGTGTTGTTGCTGCATGGCTGATTTCTTCTAAATTGCCGGAATGCTTAATGTTTGTACTCCACACTGTAAAGATCTCATGCAGACCAAAGAGCGTGTTTTCTCAGGCTTTCCTACAGTGCCATGCTGTACTTTGTATATACTAAGGATTTCCATTAATACTACAGTGTAAACAAGATAGCATTCAGCTCTCATATTTGGGAATTTTTGATAAAATCTTAACCTGTATTTCCTGGGTTTAGGTTGTGGCTTTTCCTTTCTGCTTCAGTGTTGGATGCTACTGTTACGACTGCAGAGCCTTTTGCAATACATCACCTAATTTTCTTCTTCATTTCAGGGTCACAGTACCCAGTTTTTCACTGCGTCAACAGAATCACTCATGAGGAGGTACCTGAGAGTTACTGTGACAGCAGCACCAGACCCATTCCAGAAGAGGAGGCCTGCAACCTCTTCCCATGTCCAGCTTTGTAAGATACTACAGCTTAACTCAAGTGAAATAAGCCAATGTCACTGAGGTTTTGCATATGAAAAAGCCTATTCTAAGTGGCAAACTAGTTTGAACTTTAGTAATATGCACTTGTGTTATAAGATGTAGTGGTGATTTTTTCCTTAGTTGTTGGTGGCCACCTTCCCCTTCACATAAAGCAGTAGCATTTAGAGAAGACAAAATGGAAGTTGGCAACAAGTGAATGTAGTAATTTCTCAACATTTGCATCATCATTCAGGCGTGCACACTGTACATGGTCTCTATAGGTGCAGTTTTTTCAAGTGACAGGCTTTTGCATACAGCTGTGTCTAAGGAAGAGGCTTTGTAGGTTATATCTCTCCACATGGGATCAGTGTGCTGTAGTACCCACCTCTTCACCTATGGTGTCATATTGAAAGATAAGGCTGATAGTGTTCACATCATCTCCTTCAGAAACATCACCTCACTTTCCTGGAATTCAGTAGTTCTTCAACTTAAAGACATAATTCTGAAGTCCTCTTTTCTATCACACTCATACAACCAGCTCAGGTCTGATTTCCTTCTGAAAACACTTGCCATCAGGAGACTGTGACCTAAAAGTGGCTATGCCTTTTTTTTTTTTTTAAATAATAATAAAAAAAAAATTTGTCAATTCTTCCAACTGACGAATTGACATGAATCCGATCATGTCAATCTTGTGTATACAAAAAATAAAAAAGGTTTTAACCCAGTTGCCATTATAGCAACTTTATTTCAGGTCAGCAGCTGTATTTTCCATCTCTCTGGTGGTTATATTCTTCTGTTCTCTTCTGAACAGCAAGTGTCCACTCATTATCCCATGAAGTCTGTAATGGCGTGAGCGCTGTTCTAGTGTTAAAGATGCCTGGCAAGCAATTTCCTCTTGCATATTAGATACTCAGGAACTTCTGAAGCTGTTTACTTGGCAACGTCTTCTCTCACCAAGCATTTTTCTCACCTTTTTAATTCTAACAACTCATATTAATTCAGCTTAGCTTGTTTATACAGGATAATATCAGAATATAAGCAAAGATGTGTAAATATTTATTTCAAAGAATACAGATTTCTGAAATAGAATGTGTGAACAGTTCAGATGCTTCCCTTATTTGCGTATTTTTTTGTGCTTGAAACAGAAACTGAAAGGGGCAAATGACATTGTTATATTTTATTAGTGAAACCACACCAATATTAATTTAGTAATTTTATTAAGCAAGCAGCAATAAGTAAAACAGCACTGGGTGGCCGGGGAGTTTCCTCACTCCACCAACGGCGCACAACAACCCCCCCCAGAGTCTCTTATTATATACTCTTCTTCTTCTGGTGTAACGTATCTCTTTCTTCCTTCTGCGGCTGCGTCAGCTGTTGCTAGGGGGTCCTTTCTGCCTTCCAGTGGTCTTGAAGGAGGGGGTTGTATCATTCTTGGTGATTGTTTCATTACACACATGATTACCCAACCTAATCCAAATTCTTCCCCCTATTTTCATTGTGTACAACACAGAATAGCTATATGTTTAAAGCAAGCAAGCATGCGATTTTGAACAGACTGCTCTTACAGCTAGTTCTGTTGGTTAAACTTTAAGCAGGCAAAATGAGTTTCAAAGCAAGCGAGAAAAACAATTAAAAGAAAACAAACAATCAAAGTTTGATTAACAAACTACAGTTTATCCATTACAGACATGTTTATACAAGTGGTTAAACAATACAGTGAAATCTAGGAATGAGATGAGTATATCTAGGTATTTGTTTAATCTCTAGAATTAAATGTCCTTATTCATTGTTTATTGTTAGCTATTTCAGTTTTACTGATGAGTGAATGCCTGGATTCATTACATGATTTTTGTGGTATTGTTCTTTTTTAGCGCCTTTGCTGCAGTAAAATTTTGTGCAACACGTCTTACATTTTTTGGCAAGTGTCATTAGAACAATAATATACATAGATTCTTTAACAAAACAAACAGCAGTTAATGGCTGAATTAATGTTTGTAATATGTCTTGAAACCATGGGTCGTGCACTCTGTATGTGTGCATATTATTATCAGCCACTACAGGTAGATTGTCTCTGGTGTATAAAATTGTCTTCATCAAAGATTAAGTTAGGCATGCAGAGGCTCAAGTGTTATTTTATAAAATTATGTACCAGCATCAGAATCATATCATTCAAGTTCTGTTAAGATTAGTATTAGAAAAATCTTGACTGAAAAAATATGTCCTCTTCCCCCCCCTGACGCTTTAGCTGGGATATAGGGGAGTGGTCTGAGTGCAGCAAAACGTGTGGCCTTGGTATGCAGCATCGACAGATCTTATGCCGGCAGATGTACGCCAATCGGACCTTGACAGTTCAGCAGTACCGCTGCCATCACCTGGAGAAACCAGAGACAACCAGCACTTGCCAGCTGAAGATCTGCAGCGAGTGGCAGATCAGGACAGAGTGGACTTCAGTAAGTATGATTGATAGATATGGTGCATAAAATCTCAGAAAAGAAAAAGCATTTTCTCCCAGGTGGAAGTAATTAAACTTGAAATTTTTTTTTGTTTTAAACAGAAGTGGAATGTGGAAAGCCTTGGAAACAGGTGAATCATAGTTCAAGAGAATCCTGCTCCATCCTGACCATTAGTTTACTGTTTGTAATGAGAAGGAAGCTGAAAAAGAGCACTTGAATAGTACAAAATACAGAGATGTATGTGTACAGAAGTACACAGGCTTTCCAAGCAATGTTTTTTTTAAATACTATATGAAGTAGAGTTGGAAAGCCCTGATAGGTATGCCTGTGATGGTAAACTTACTGCTCTTTCTCATAGCGTGTTTATTTTTTTCTTGTAGAGTTTAGTTCTAGGGGTTACTTAGCCTGATGTATGTATTATTGGTAAGAATCAGTAGTTGCTGTTTCTGTAGTTGGTTTGAGGCTGTAGCAAGACTTTCAGATAAATGTGTGCATTACAGTTTTGAACTTTCATTTCTGTATTGTTTAGATAAGCTTTGGCCAACTTGACCACCGTCATAGATAGTTTCATGGCTTTTGTGTGAAAGAGAAGATATCCCAGTGTATTAGGTGTAATGATAAGCAAACCTCTTTGCTAACCATGAAACAAAGAAAAAAAAAAATAAATTTAGAGTTGCTGAATTATGTGGGTAGATAGACTGTGAACATTTCAAGCTTAAACCCTGAACTTACACATTCTTCTTCCTTTCTACTGAAGTGCTTCCCTGTTTCTAATTCCCCCAGCATGACACAGCATGTTGTCCACAGGCTGGCTAAGCTGGCAATAGCAGCACAGCTTCCCATCCACTCAGTCACAGCAGGCTAAGGAGTCGTGCAGCAGACTTCACGTGGCTTTACTGGGGGAGAAGACCCACTATAAAGCCCATGTGACTTTAAGTCCCCCAGTTGCTGCATTTCCGAGGCTGGTGGTGGCATTAACTTCCTAGTCATGAAGTGTCTGGTCCGTTGATATATACCTGATAAAAAAAATAGAAACACCTAGACAGATGAATGTAAAGATATGTTGGTTGGTTTGTTCATTATTCATGATTAATTAAAATCCATCTGGCATTAAAGAACAATAAACTGATATTAAAAGTAAAGTTTTGATTATTTTATTGTCTTGATGATGAGAAAGGAGAGCCGGCTTTGAGTGTCGGCATTTTGAGAAGTGTTTCAGTGTACAGAGCCTTTAGAGGTTTACTGCATGTAGTAGATCAAGCTAAACAAATGCTTTAGAAATTGTAGGTGCTTGAATATAAGCATAATTCCAATAAAATTCTGTGATTAATTTCCCCTTGGAAGTAAAATTTAATTTTTTGGCACAAGCAATTGAGTTTGCAAACTGGTTTCAGTAGAGCAGTTATTATGATTGTGCTTGCTGAAGTACAGTTAGGTTTTCACTTTGAGACAGGTCTGTGATTTTAAAAGTAAGACCATTTTAAGATGAGAACATGCTTACCATTTTTTCTGCCATACAAATATCAAAACCTTTGATCTAAATCAGATCAGAGAAGACGGCAGACTAGACTTCGAGAGTAACTCTGGACAAACTGATTCTTTCATGACATAAGAAAAGGGGTATTTATTAGTATGTTGCCATTTGGTGCCCTCACATCTAGTCTGGGTTCTGCCCAGTGTTCTGGAGTGAACGTCTGAAGAAGTAGCTGCAGTCTGAAGATGATGTCTACAAGGTAAATTGCTGCTGGAAGTATGTTTTGCGTGATAAACAACTTGGATGTGCAAATGTAGTAGACGTGATCAAGCATTTGAAAGCACGGGAAGAACAATGAGGCTGCCTTTGGAAGCTCTGCTAGGTACCCTTGTATGTAGGTACTGCAGGTTTTAATCTTCAATTTCCCAGAGATCTTTGCCTTTAATTGTAGAGTGTTTACAGGTCTCATCAAAACACTTCATGTGTATACAGCAGAAAATTATGTTCCCGTCTTGCTTCATGATCTGGACGCTTCGCATCATCGCGCAGAGATACCAATAGCTGTCAGCATTCCCTAAGGCTGAAGAAAATAGGGTGGGAGAAGGCAGCCTTTATTTGTAAGAGCAAGTCAGAAGTTGTGTTTCTTTGCATTTCTCTTGCTTCCCATCTTTTTATAGGTCAAGACCAAAATTACACAGAATATGTCAGCCTGCTATTAAAATACTAGCAGTTCATTTGATAAGAGGCAGCATGGCCTGTTGAACATAGGGTTTAATCTTATGTTTTCCTAATGTATCTACATAGTATACTGCAGAATACTACAAACTACAAACATATTTTAAAGCTACTAATGCATTTTTATTCCCTGTTCTAGCAATCTAGAGTAGTTCTATAGCTTCTGTGGACATCTTAGGAGGAATGAATGAGCTGTACATTTCCAGCTCCCTGATAAACCACTGCAGTTCTTGCAAAGTCCTGATGCAACTTTCCTTTTCTTACAGTGTTCAGTGCCTTGTGGAGTGGGGCAGAGGACCCGAGATGTGAAATGTGTCAGCAACCTTGGGGACATCGTTGATGATGAGGAGTGTAACATGAAGCTGCGACCAAATGATATTGAGAACTGTGACATGGGTCCTTGTGCTAAGAGCTGGTTCCTTACAGAGTGGAGTGACAGGGTAAGGCTTTGCATTATCCTTGTGCTGCCAGATCTTCTAAAACAACTTAGCGTGTATGAGAATTAAAAAATATGCACCCATACAGCCATAAAAGGAGTGATCTTTTTTTGTGTGTTTATCCTTGATCTGTGGAACAGGCAAGAGAAAACAAAAACATACGATCCCAAGGGCATCTTGAGTTTTGTGTTAGATATGAGAATGCATAGAAAGGGCAGCCGTGTGGATGCATGGCCAAACATCTGGATTTACAATTGGCTCTGTGCCTGAACTTCCAAAAATATTAAGTGTGCTGGGATTTATTATTCTGCCATGCTTAGCACTGAGTCTCAAGATTCAGACTCTAAAAGTTTCCCTGCTGTTTTTTTAAAGGATAGAGGTTTGAGGCCTGATGTCTGGGTTTGAGTTCAAGCCATAAAACAATTACCCTGAAGTTGTGAAAAGAGGAGAACAACTTCATAAACTCAGGCAAAGTTGATTCAGGCTTTTGTACTTTGTGAACATGGATTTATTGTTTTATTCCAATGAGTCAGATTGTCCACATGAAAGCCATAAAACCAGTGATGATTTACCTTGTTTCATGATTTGGCTCAGAGTTGTTGTTCAGTAGTGATACTAATATGCCTTCATTAAACAGCTTACAAACGTGTTCTAAGAAAAGCCTGATATTTTGGTCCCTCTTGTGGATGCTTGCATATCAGTTTCACCTGTAGACAAATCGAGCCTTTGGTCTATAAAATCCTGATTGCATCTCCCTTTTCTTTGGCCTGTTATTTTGGCAGGCAAATACTATAATTTATCATTGAAACTGTAAGATTACATTCATAACTTCATAGATTCATTGCTTAGATAATTTTGTGGTAGTATCTCAAAAAGCTACTAATGTCTTGCTCATAGGTTATGCGTTATTTTGGATGCTCATAGTATTTCCCATGTTTTAGATGCAGAGAAGGAGGAAATTCACAGGTAGGACAGGTAATTTGTATATCATATAATTTTAAGAAGGCTGATCAGACTCCTGATACAATTAAAGCCCTGCAAAATTTTCAGCCTCTAGACAACTCAAACAGATTTTATCAAGAAAAAAAAATTTGTATATGTACACTAATAAATCTTTTTTACTGTCCTTGGAACTTTTTTTGCCCCCTTGTTATTCACTTCTTTAGCTTGTAGAGCTGTTCTTTGTACAGCACTATTAAAGTGATACTTTCCAAGAAAGAAAAATACATTTTACTCTGAAAGACACCTTTCTTGAAAAACCTGGCCCAGCTACTATCAGTTTGTGCAGTTCCACCACATAAAGCACACACATTCCAGTGAATACTCTTGCATCACTGTCTTCATTATTTCTGCATTAGTATTTTGTCCTCTGCAGAATTAAAAGTAGGTTTTGTAGCTGAAGGTTGTGACTATAGAATGTTATTATGCCTATTTATATGTATGAAATGAGACATAAAAGTGAAGCAGGTAATGCGGAAAATGTTGGCATTTTTTCTTACCACAAACGTCTTAGGGTCAGAAAGTAAAGAACTGGATTTTGTTACCTTCTCAGCTTACGTAAGTGTACAAATTAATTTCTTCCAAATGGTTGCTACTGGAGTTGGCATTATTCATCATTGCTTTTGCCAGCAGTGGCTTTAGAGTTTGTTTCACAAAGTGAATGGAAGGAACAGCTTATTTAATGAAAAAAGTAGATTCAGGCTAGAACGTGCAGGATCTTCTGAGGTTCACACACACCTTGTCACTCAGATGTTCCGAGACATCTAGTGGCAGTGATTGCAGTATGGGAGTAGTCAGTATATGGGAGTAGTCAGTAGCTTTGCAGTCGGTCCTTTGGCCATTAGCTTTCTTATTGAGCATTTCAAGGGATGTTTTATAGGATCAGAAGTCTCTCTTTCTTTGTACAGGAGTGTGTTCCTATTGAAAGACAAGATGAGAATTAGAAATGGGCATTCCCAGGTGTATGGACTTTGCATGTGTGATTTCCCCAAACGGTTCTTTGAAGAGTACCTTTAAGCCAAGCCACACTTCAGCAATAAGCATAGATCAGCGATGGGCAGCCACAAATGGTTCAGATAAGCAGCCAAAAGTTCAAATGTGTAAAGAAAGCTTGTTCAAGCCTCTTGAGTCCGCAAAACTGCGGTGGAAGTCTCACAAGAACAGACCTTCTTTGTGAGATTTATTACATGCCTACTTCAAATCACAGCTGGAAATACCACAGAACAGTCTTTCCCATTGTATTTTGACATTTCAGCCGTGGCTAGACGTAAGAAGCAAAAGAACTTATCACAACTTTTGAGAACGTTGGAACTTTGAAATGGTTGAGTTCAAACTTGGTTACAGCTGTAAGGGAAGGCCTGACCTGTACTTTTCTGAACCCATTGTGCAAACACTTAATGTGTACTGTTGCACATGCAGCAAGTAGGGATTTCCAGAGACCTGTCAGAGATCGGTTAGGCACATGCTTTCTCTTTCAGCAGGGGATATATCAAACTTCCATGTCCAGATTTATGTTATGCTTAGTAGGGCATTACATTGTAGCCTTGGTTAATTAGCAAAACATCAAGAAAAAGCATAGCAACGTAAAAAATACCACTGTCTTTGCTGTCAATAGGCGTTAAATTTCAGGATTTGATAAATGCGATATGTATTTATGCAGAATTTTACATGGGTGTTCTTCAACACAGGGAGAGAAAGAGATGAATAGTCACATCTGAGTTTTAAGAAAAGGACAGAAACTAATTTAAGATTGATGAAAACAGTTTGGGATTTGTTTTACAGAAAACTTGCAAAGTTTTAACTAATGAAAAAATAACTAATTAGCTTCATTTTCATTTATAGTTTCTGTGGTTCTGAATTGGAAGATGGTATCATTAAATTTCCCTAAATCTTAACTTCTGGAGCACAACATAATGTGCACTTAAAAGCCTGCAGAGTACCTACAGAGCTATGTGTAGGAGTTGTGATCCTTCCCAGGATGGGCTGTCTGTAGCTTTACTCCATAAATAACACTCAGCTGCCTTCTTACCATATTCTCCCATCTTGTTTTTCCACAACGTATCTTCATGTATTTTCTGGCTCACCTATTTCCCCCCATGGCATTGATCTTCTTGGATTCAGTTTCTGCACAAACTGATTCCTTCATATATATATATATAATTAATCCTAAGTAATTAAAATACATGTTCCTAAAACCTGACAGTTTGTGATTTACCGATAACCAGTTATCAGAGTCCATTGTATGTGTGCTACACACACATTTTTACCTGCAAAGCTCACGAGTGTAGCAGCTACCCTGTGCAAACTGATGGAACATGGAAGGAAGGCAATTCATCCTTTAGAAATAAATCTTTCTTTTCTGAAAAGTATATGCTCCCTTATTTGTCTTTGAAGTACAGCTAAACACCATATTCTTGATATTCTGCAGGCACAATCTTAAGAGAAACAGGAATTTTTACTTTTTTTTATGGGAAGGATTAAAGGTTAATAGCAGCCAAGTGAGATTCAACTTTGTATGTGCCTGTCTTTACATTTATTGCTCAATTTTGAGTATAAATAAGAGAATTAACTTGTTTCATGGCTTGGTTTTCTACAGGATCTTTAACACATTCTGCTTACAGAGAGCCTGTACAAATTTGGATATTTTTACATGCATTTGTAGAAAGGTGGCTTCCTGTCTTATAATTCTCTTAAGAGGTCTTACTTTGTTAAAATGGCAGAGTTCCACCAAACTGCATCCATTAATCAGTTAAGCTGGTGAACTTTACTGGACTTAGCAACAGAACTGCATTGATGGGAGCAGATGAGATTCTTGCAAGCATTTCACATGACTGATTCTGTGACAGCTCTAATTGCTGGAAAGTTTACTTCTCCTGTGGGTCAGAAATGGGAAACGGCACTCTCCTGATTCACAGCGATGGGAGACTCTCCAGTGTTTCCTTCCAGCTAACTGGAGCAGTCCCGTCTAGCATTTTTGTTTATTACTCATTGCCATCTCCTCTGTTCATTTGTTTCTCATTTTATGTTTGGAGCATACTTAGAGAAGAAGCCAAAAATACAAACAATTCTTAGATGTTAATGAGATTCTGCGGCCAAAATAAAATCTTGGGAAGAAAGAAAAAATGCTGCACATCAGGGACCAAAATCAAAACAGATCAAACACGTGCTCTGGATCTCACTCTTCATTAAAAGGAGTAACAGTGATGCTTCTGTACTATCTTCCATTAGAAAACTCTGTAGTATGCTTTGTGAAAATCAACAATTTACTCCTCACAGTGATAAAGCATTACCTAGTAGGTACAAGTGGGTTTGTTGGCTAATCGAATGTGGAAGCACTGATGAATATTGTAGCTCACACTATTCTTTCACTGTTTTTTACTTAAATCTGGATAGTTCATGTAAAATCTACTGGATTGGGGGGAAGGGGGGAAGATACCACCATGGAGTTTGTGCAGGTATTACATTATTTTTGATTATCATTGTTTATTCATTTTCAATATAAAATGAAAACAAGATTTCCCCTGTGGTGATATAGACCCCCCTTCTACCATACCATATGGGAATCATCTGGAAATAGAAGTTTTGCATTCATGTCATGATTTGCAGTGAAACATATAGCCAGGAGAGTTTTGAAGATGTTTGATAGACTTACAGACCTTCTGTTTTCTTCTCTAGACCTAATCTCTCTTTGCCCCATTTCAGCTACTTTAGATAGATGTCAGCATAGAAAAGTCTGCATGGCACAGAGGACCCTTGCCAGCTAAGACCCACAGTATTCCTGTTAGATCAGCAGGGCAGGCTTTTAGGTGACAGGCAGAGGCAAATGAGTCTAGATTATCAGGCAGGGTCATGGTGATGAGGCAGGTCTAAGGTCAAGCTGGGAAATGGGTTTGCGAACAGGTCCAGTGACAGTAACCAGGGTCAAACACAGCCCATTGTTCCTGGGGCAGGCCCATGGTAATGAGGCAGAGTCAGGGTCAAGCTAGGAAGCGAGTCCAAGGAGGAGGGATCAATGGGGCCTGTGCCCAGGCTGTGGCTGGGAAGAGGCACATCTCTGATAAAGCTCAGGCAGGCACTGATGGACCAGGGTTGAGGTCAAATGGAGACCCTGGGCCTACGGACAAAGGTGTAGGTGGAGGCCATAGTTGAGGCTGGTCAGGGCCAGTAAGGTGTACTGGTGCACTCATGCTCTGGTAAGTCCCTACAGCTCTTAAGGTAAGTGATATTGTGTGAGCCAGAGAGTGAAGGAAGTTTGTTCTTTAGTGTTACTTACTTTGGAGAGCATTAGTAATACGCAAGTACCAGCAGTGTTATCAAATACATAGTAGACTCAACAGAGAGCGATGGTTTGACATCCGATCCAGCACCTACTGTATGCATAGATGGACTCTAAAAGGAAGTAATTTAAACCAGAGATCAGAAAGCGTTTTGGCAATACATAAGGGAATTTCTGACTACCCCTCACCTTTTAACTTTTTTTTTTTTCCTTAAGAAAGCAGTTTTGTATCCTTTGAAAATGTGCCCCCAGTGCTGGAACTGTGGCAGAAGTGAGCTTCTGGAGTACAATTCATAGTTTATTATTGCAAAAACAAAGGTTGCATAATCCTTCTAAAATCCCTTCTGAAAGGGATTTTTTCAGAATAAGTCAAATGAGGCTAAGGAGTTCCATAAATTTATTTCAAACACAGATTAGTGTTTTTATTTTTTGCAATAGTGTAACATCAGGAGGATGATTCATAAAAAGCTTTATTATATTGTGGGGAATAATTAAAGTGATGAAGCTTAAAGTGTGGCAGGCAGAAATGCTGCACAAATGGGGACGTTTTACTGGAATTCAATTGGTTGTTGTTTTAAAATGTAATTAAGGCTAGCAATGATGCTGAGACCTGGGTGAAAGGACTCTTGAGTTCTGATAGATGTCCTGCTGCCTCTTTCCTATTGTCTGTCATCCCAGTGGAGGGTAATCAGTACGGCGGGCACATCAGTGAAAGGGAACTGGCACCAGTTTTTTGCTCTGCCATGCCCTGTGACTGTGACAAAAGTTCGGGCTTCCAGTTGCAGTTTTCAAAGTTTGCAGGTACTAGCCTTATTTTCTTGACTGCTTTTACAGTTGTTTTCTGACAACTGTCAGAACACTGGATTAGGAGGGGCATTTTATTTTTAGTTTTTAATGGGAATGGAAAGCTTTTGAAACTGAACTCAGAAGGGAAGGACCTCAGGAAGAGGAGGAATGGCAGACTCTTTAAAACTAGGGAGGGTGTTCGCCAGAATAAGATTCTTGAGGCATTTCTGCCAATTAAAACAAGGCAGTGAAACAAAATATCTTTAATAATAGGATCAGAACAGAGAAATTACAGTTTGTGAAAGTACCTTATGTCATACAGTGTTAGGTTATAGCAGTTACTATGTATCACTGCAACAAATCAATGGCACAAAATTGAAAGTAGCGGGTGTGTCAGTTGTGAAAATGAAAGGGAGACGATCCATTATCCAAACACTCCTTTCCTGCCTTGAGCTTTGGAAATCATGGCTTTCATACGGAAGATTTTTACTGAAAGGAATTTAAAAAAGATGAAAAAATAAATACTTAATGCAGAAACATTTAGGTTTCAGTTTGCTTTGTAAATCCTTTGAGGGTGGTTGGTCTGTAGTAAATCTTACAGCAGAGGGTGGGACAACCCTATACCTTCCCCTTTGGTATTTCCTTTGTTATTCGATATGTAAGCCTAATTTCATGCATGATCATTTACAACATAAGAATATGGAGATTTTCTGTGTGACTTTATACACTAAACTTGTTCCCAGCTCTGATTTGCAAAGCAGTAAAGCAAGTTAGATTGTCAAATGAAAATTACTTAGAAATAAGGGAAGTATTTGCAGAGTGTATGCATAGTTCTTCATGCGTAGCGTAATTGAACATACTGCCATGGATAAAATACAAAGTCACAAAATGTCTTTCTGTACAGTGGGTCTGAAAGGTAGCCATTTTATGGGGCTCATTTAAACAGTCAGTTTACCTAGGAGTGGGCTGTTGGTAATGGGTCTAGTTTAGTTTTAGTTTGCACAAACAGGAAAATATTTGCTACTAGCATAATTTACATAATTCTTGTATTTTCCAAGATTTGGCCAGTTTACTTTGAAAAGACCTCCTCAGCCATCAGATCTGGTTTGCTGAGGAGGTAAGTATATTCTACATATCGGTGTGAAAGAGGGAAATTTTGTTGTGCACCACCAATAAAAAAAGTTCATTATGTTACATACAGGCATTATTTAAGTGAGCTTAATTATTCAGTCTTACAGATAAAGAAACAGTTCCAAACTATGAGCAATTTTTTCCTGTTCCTATGGAGTACATAAGCATCTCTTTAAATTCTGAATTTCTAGTTATTCCAAATTTATATTTTATTTATTAAGAAAAGATTTTTATAAAGTTGAATCACTTTTTATAGTTTTCTAGAGATTCCATTTGAAGAAAGTTTTGCCCTTCTATTTGAATATCCTGTGAAAGAAAGACAGCTTGCTGATAGAAAAATGTTTTACTGCTGTATCTGTGGAATTTTTTTTTTACTGTATCTGTCGGATAAATACAACATGACCACATTTCACACAAATAATAAGTATTCTTCAGTGTAAGTGAAGAGTAGTTTGCAACCAATTGTATGTTCAGTCACTGGTCTCTCGAGAAGATGAATGACTGTATTGGTTGATCCGCTATTAATAGTGCTGCTTTTGTGGCATCTGCTGTTCTGTAGTTAGCTGCTGGTTGCTAACCCTTACACTATTACTGATGGCAGCCATATGAAGCTAATGGTCAGCTCTGTGCCTCATCACCAGTCATTCTTACTTTTATTCAATAAAATATTAAAAAATGTTCCAATAGAAAGTTACATTCATTCACAAGGAATGTACTGTTCATTGTGGAAGTAATAGAGTTTCTTCTAACTAATGACATTGTATGTTAAAAGCTAAATCTGAAAATCAAATCCATCTTTTTCTACCATTTACTTGTGATTTTCTTTGTGTGTGCAGTACAATTGTTTGTAATTGTTTAAATTCAGTTGCATACATATCTTTCAGTGAGCTGCACATGTTTTTTTCTTTATTTCAACTGTCTAGATGTGAAATACCAAATGCATTTTCTTTAAAAAAAAGGGAAGGGTAAGAAAGAATTAAGCAAGAAAAAAAGTCTTAACACCATTATTTCTCATGTGTTCCTGGTTTTTAAATTCCAGTAGTTTGACGTTGCCAAGAACAGTGGCGTATCAGAGACTTTCTCACTGAAGTAGATGAATGACTAAACTGTAAGGGCATAAATGGAATATATCCTGTGTGATTTATGGATGTCATACATACTGTCTCAAAATATGTGACGTGTCACTATTACAGCTTTCAGAATTCTAACAGTGTAAAGTTGAGAATGGTGATTGTTAGTTACTGGGAAGTCGTATCATTAGAACACAAAGTTGAATTTACATGAACTTCTATGGCCACCTCTTCTGTTAAAACTGATTAGCAACTTACAATTGAAACAGGCTGGGCAATAATTAGTGGTAATCTCAGTTATTTGCTGAGTATTCACCTGAATCTTTTGGAAACAGGTGACAAAAAAAAATTTAATTTTTCTACTTCATTATGCTCTCATACTGTGTCAGCTTGTTACATGGAAAAGTTCCCAGATGCACTGTGCAGTCAGTTTACTACCACAGTCCTCAGAGTCTTTCTAGCCTTGTTTTTTTTAACCAGTATAAGAGCTCACCTGGCTGACAACTTGAATGGTCGAAGAAACTGATGGAACAATTCAAAGGCAGAAGTATGACTGCTATCTGAAAAGCTGCATATTGAAATTATCCCTCCTCAGATCTATTAACTGGTATAAAAAAGGTGAATAAAACAAAAACTGAAAGCATTTACACGCTGGATGAAGGATGGAAAAGTAAGAAAGCTAATAACCCATTAAAGAGGATTTCTTTCTTCCCTAATCCCTCAGTTTCTTTAATTTGTGACTGTAAAGGACAGGTACTACTTGTAGTGTCTTCAAACGTATGAAACTGTAAGGTAACTGCTGCAGCTGAATTACCAGTGAAAATTATCAACTTTGCGTGAATCCATTTCCTTTTCCTGATTGTGCTTCTCATTTTATTGCACAGTCTGAGGGGCAGACTGTTCTGCACATATTCTCTCTTTTGCTCCCCAGTGTTCTGCAGAGTGCGGTGAGGGAGTCCGTACGCGCTCAGTGGTGTGCATGACGAACCATGTCAGCAGTTTGCCTCTGGAAGGCTGTGGCAATAACAGACCCTCTGAAACAACTCCCTGTAATAATGGTCTCTGTGCTGGTAAAGTGGAGTGGTTTGCTGGGGGCTGGACACAGGTGAGCTCTATATCTAACATATGTATTTGTTTTCTCCTGTTATTTTCATTTTAAAACTGTATTTTTGCACGATGAGGATGTGTGCCATAAGGTATTTCTGCACCTCTGTGGAGTAGCTGGATTTTTTTTTTTCTGACATTTTGCTGAGATGATGTTAGGTGCTTTTCAGCACCTGTTTTTTAACTTTGAGCAAAATAAGATTTTCTCCTAGTCTGTATCCTGATGCTCTTTCCTCAAGGTAAATTCTTCCATTGATCTGCTACAGCTGAGATGGAGATTACAGTGCTACTGCTACACTGATGCATTCAAGTGAAGTGGTAATTACTTGTATTGTATGCAAGTAGTAACAAATTCAGATTTAAAACATAACTAGCCTCAGTTCTAATGACAAATTAAAATCTGGGCCTTGTTACTCACACCACTCCATGCAGGTGAATAGGAACCTGGTATTCATTCTTGTAGCACAGAGAATGCATCCTGACTATTCCTATTCTGTTTCAAATAAGAAAGTTTCATCTCTTTATAGTTTCCTCTTCTTCTAAGCTAATTCACCTTCCTTCTTTGCTTGAGATGGAATTGTTTGATGCATACAAAGGATGCAGAGTCTTTTCTGTATGTTGCCTGACAGAAGTATCTGACATCTGTTCGACTGGCTGGCTTCTGACTCCTGACTACCAAACTGAAAGCAGACAGTATGCAGACACAAGCAGTGACAGAGATGTTTGGTGTTAAAGAAATTGCAGTTATGTTATTTCCGGTAGAACTTAATTGGGTGCATTCGTCTCAAAGGTCTTTATTCAGCTCAATGTTTTTGTGGGTATCTGCTAAAGGAATCATGAATTCCACTCAAAATATAAACAAAATCTCCACTTTTAATAACGCTTGATTGGTTTAGACTAGAAAAAGCCTTTGAAAACCATAGTACTTTGCACAACATGGAGACCAGTATGTTGCTGACATCATCTTCTAAAAACCCTTTTACAAGTGCCAGGAACAGTGCAGTGTGTGTATTTAACCTTTAAATGGTCACTAAGAGTCCATGTGAGTAAAATTTGCTTTTCAGAACTGGAACCAACACTGCATCACATAGATACTTGCAAACATGAAAAGAACACCCTGGCAGATCAAGGCATTTTCTGAAAACCACAGAGTGTGGGGATTTGTAAAGCTGCAAAACTGTGCTCTGGCCTTATAACCCTCAAAGGTTCAGTGCGGCGCATACAGTCTTGCTTCAGTGCATACAGTCCTCCCATTTATGAAGCAAGCGGGTTATGCTTCTCTTTTTATTAGAGAAGTAAATAACATTTCTTTTTGTACCGACGCAAAATTATACTTTTAGATTTCTCCAAATGTACACTTACAGTCATATATCTTCTTCTTCATAAAAATAACTAGAAATATGTTTGGAGTCTGTGGTACCACATGGAATAAAAATCCAGACAAGTCGTTTTTAACCACTGTAACCATTTTCAAGATTAAAAATTAAATACGTAATACCCGACACTTAGAGTTGTTAGTCACTTGATGAATTAAGTCATTACTACATCCTTCAGCATTTACTTGTCCTGGTTCCTAGCTGGGACTGCTGGCTACCTTGTTAGTACTACATACGAATAATAGTAACAACTGAGGGTTTATCTAGGCTACAATTCTGGTTCTGAGAGTTAAAATCCCTATCACAGGAACTTAAGGAGTACTTTACCCTTTTCCTTTCTCTTCAAGAGATATATGTGCCAGTGATGAAAGATACAGTTAAGTTCATTTTACTGAGGAAAGAACACATAAAAGTAAGGAAATGGAATTTGGCTGCTATTGTCTAGGTATGCATCCAAGAATAGGGAATAAGCAAAACTTTACCAATTTTCCTATTTGAATAGTAATTTAAAATGCAAGTATATGTGTATATGTGTGTGTGTTGCTTTACTTCAGAAAGAAATAATGTGGAGAAACAAGTTACAGGACTTAAGCAGAATAACATATTCCACCATTTTTTATTCTTCTCTGATACAGTGCTCTACTGAATGTGGCAGTGGAACTCAACAAAGAGAAGTAATTTGTGTTAGGAAAACTGAAGATAATTTTGATGTTTTGAACCCCTATGAATGTTCATATTTGGAAAAACCTCCCAGCCAGCAATCCTGCTACCTCAAACCCTGTGGATCTAAGTGGTTTCATACAGAATGGAGCACAGTAAGTCTATCATGCTTTTCCACATCTGGTTTTGTTTGATACATCTTTTTCCATGGATATTGAAAGGGAACACTGTTTGGATAAAACCATTGATCATGAAATCGACTCATTCTGGCACAAGAATGATCCTAAAAAGAAAGCACACTCTTCAGTACCCAGTGGAGCTTAGGAACGTTAGCAGGTATCTTAACCAGAAGGAGACACTGCATAGATGCCTTTTCATCAGAGATCTCTTCTTCCAAGAACCTTCCTGTTACAAAGTTGGTTTGCCTTATAATGAGACTATGTAGTGCACTACAAAGTTCTTTCCAGACCTCTAGTTTAATTACAATTAAGGAACATTTAGTAAAGAATGAGGGATGAGTTCAGTTTTTAAAGTCAGTTTTACCATAATATGTTACTGTAAACTCTTCACTGTAATAGAAGTTTACTGAGAGTAAACTTATTGTAGAGCTTCACGTATCTTCAGTTTCCCCTGGAAGGGGACCAACTGTAATCACCAGTGCCACAAAACACTTCGATTTCATCTGTCTTTTCATTATTTCCTATGCCTGGCAACATTTACATGATTTTTACAAAAAAAATCTACATTTTTCTTCTAAATGAAAATCAGAAAGTCCATTGTCATCTTAGAATGAAAGCCAGTGTGAAAACTGCTTAGGTGACATTGTATCTAATACAGTAACACCCTTCTATGAGCCTTAAGTCAAATTCTGAATGACAGCTCTGAAATGGTGAAGCACCTCAGATGGCTTCAGTTTGAGTTGTGTTAGTCAGGAAACTTTGGAAATACTTAATCCACACAACATGAGAGAAATTGTTTTGTTTTTTCCTTTTACTAACACTCAATTATATGACTGGCCTGCTGGCAGCACTAGAAAGCAGAAAAGTAGGTAGGATGGTTTTAACAAAACAAATCAGCTGAAGGGAGTCCTAATTTTTCTTCCTCAATTGCAAATATAGATGTGTATTTGAAAACAACATCCAAATGAGGCTCATAGTAAAGCCACGTAGATGGAAGTAGGTTCTTCGATGCTGCTGAAAATTATCTGGATTCTTTAGTGAGCTGATAGTTCAGATTAAATAACTTCCCCTTAGCAAAACACATCAGCAAACCCATTTTCAAATGTGAGCCTACAGGTGTGTACACACAAGAGATACAGCTCTCTGCATCCCTAGAATGCAGCAGATAAATTTCTTCTGAAAGTGGAAATAGATGCTCTCTTTGGCAGGCACAGAAGAAACAAGATGCTAAGACTGAGAAACTGATAAGTATTTAGAGAATCCTAGTTACTGTTTAAGTGCCTACTTCCTAAGAAGTGGTGTCAAAAAATCCTTTAGGTTCTAAACCTTTGTGACCGTCTTCACTGCAGCAGCAAATACATACGCTAGCTGAGATTTGACAAGATCATATTCTAAACATATTTCAATTCTCCTGATACCGTTACTGTTATCAACAGAGTATTTGCTACTTCTTACTGTTAAACCTGAAGAGAAGGGATTTATGGGGTTAGCTGTGAGCAGAATAGCAGGCTCAAAGCCTCTCTACTAGGTTTCGAAATGATCCAGTTCATATCTTCAGCAGACTTTTTCATATGACCTAAGATAAACAGCACGGGCTCTCAGCCATGGATGTTAATGGCTGGCTAGCATGCAGTGCTGGACTTTGTGCGTAGTGTGTTCTGTGTAACACCTACATTCTATCTTGGTTCCATTTTAAGTGCTTAAGGTCTCCACAGACCTGAACTGAATTTCTTATCGTTGAATGTGGGATAATTACAATATTCTATGTAGGCAGGTAACAAGAGTAACTGTATAAAAAACCACAAGTGTCCTATTACTTGTCACCACAGGGCTACATATTTGCTCAAGTGGAGAAAGGTTGTACTTAAAAATGAAAGCACAATTTAAGAATGTATTATTGAGAATATTTTAGTTAGTATGCTACAATATCTGATTTTATGATAGTGGTAAGTTGGTTTTGCTATGTTAGGAAAAGAAATAATTATGCCAAAAAAAAAATTAGGAAGAAAACCTTCTTACTAGTTTGGGACTATTAAGGTTTTAATAATTATAAATGACCCGGGTTTAATTAAGTTTGTGAGCATTTAGGTCAAACTGGACAGTGAGCCAAATCTCAAAGACCTCACTGGGGCAAAATACTTGAAGTCTACAGGGGATTTGCTTCAGTATGGGCAGAAATGTGTAATAATTGGCTTTAAAAAAACCATGACAAGCAAGCACAAAAGTCTGGCTTCATGACAGATTTTGAAGGAGCACAGAAGTATTTTCTTTAGAAATTCAAAGAAACCTGTAATGCTTAGTGAAATTGTTGTGCTGCAAGAATTGAAAAGTAATTGAGCACTAGAAAAAAAAGGCAATTAAAATTATTCCTGATTGTATATAAATAGAGGCAAAAGGGCAGTGGAGAGCAGTGCAGTCAAGTAGTAAAGTCCAGTGCAGGAAGTTTTTAAAGAAAGAAATGGGAACACTGTGGAAAGAGTAGATTTGAGAGGTACGTATAAATAAGCAGTGAAGAACAAGACTAATTAGAGAAGCAAGAAGCTAGCTAATAAATTCTAGTGTGCTTTCAGTTGCACAGTGTCTACCATGTTTGCTTGTCCAGTTGTTGCCCCTGTTGGTTCAAAAATGCTTCTGAACCTTTAACAAAATTATGCCTCTCTGGCAAGGATTCTACATTTAGAAAACAAAAAACAACAGGAATGGTGAAGTTGATAGAAGGCTACACAGTGGTACCTGGGTCTGGCTTCAAGATTTCCCTTTTTTTTTTTTTTTTTTTCTTTTTTTTTTTTTCTTCCCCCTTTCTGTATTTGCACATCTCATATGGTATTCATGAACTTCAGCTTTTGTGTTTCAGTGTTCCAAATCCTGTGAAGGAGGATTTCGAGTTCGAGAGGTACGATGTCTATCGGACAACATGACAGCCAGTACTCAGTGTGATCCACAGCTTAAACCTGAAGAAAAAGAACCCTGTAACACACAAGATTGTGTCCCTGAAATAGGTAAGGAAGCTTCTGTTGTAATTCTGGAACTCCATCTAGTGGAGAAAATACTTAATAGCCTTGCAGAGGTTACAGAGTACATTTTCTTTAAGTTCAAGGTTTTATTTTTACTCAAAATATAGCTCTTTTCTGTGGTGTAAAAGTAAGTTTTCATTTCCAATTAAAAACACTTTCCTTGTAATATGTAAGAAACCGTCTTACTTTTAAAGTTGCTGGCAACGTGAGAAATCTGCCTCCGTGAAAATGGTGGTTTTATGCAGCCTCCTTGTATTCTCAAAGGTGATTCTTGGCAGAGTCTTAAAAACAAAAAAATATTGCCATTTATGATATCCTATATTGGGTAACAGGTTCTATAAGAACCAATAACATTAAACTGAGGGCAATTAACAAAGGGCAATTAAGCAGTTTTATTTTGTATGTAGCAAATATACACATAATTTGGCATTGGAATTAGTAGAATCCTATACAGATATGATTTTAATAGTAATGAGAGTGACTTGGGAAAGGAAGATGTAAGTATTTCAAAACCGTTCTAACTCTTATGCTCTACAACAATTTTCAGTTGACAGTTATTCTTCAACATAATTTAAGATAACTGTATTAAAAAACTGGTATACCAATGTTAAAGTTATTACTGATCTTATGTTGTTATTCCTTTATTTAAATCAGGTTTGTACAGAATTGCTCTTTCTTACATCTGCTGTTAGTATTTTGTCATTCTGTTCTTCTCTTAACATCTCAGTTTCTGTGATCACATGCATGATCATGCGAAAATGTTATTTGTCACTAAAAAAAAGTATCTCTAACCCTAGTGGTTGTAAAGAAAAACTTAAAAGTGTGAACAGACCACATCCTAACAGCTTGGGAAAATGGGAAATTTTAAGAGCACCAGCTTTTGGGGGGTTTAAGCCTAGTTATTTTAAACCATTTGTAATATTTGTAAGTAGGCACACAGTTCACTATTTTCTGGTATTTGGATTCATCAGTACTTCAGAATAACACTTACAGATTCTGGTGCCTTCTGTACATTACCACAAGAGATTAGTACCTTTTGAATCTAAACATGAAGTGGACAGGTACATAAGTGGAAAATACTAGAGACCTTCCTATCATCTTTATTCAAGACAAATTTTGTGTTCAAAAAAATTATTGCAACAAAGCCCCCTCCCCCCAGTACCCCCACAACAGTATAAACGGGGATAGGTACATATCTCCACTGTTTTATATATCTTTATATTAAAAGTAGAAGATCTTGAATAATTTATTTGCATAGGTAGCCTATTTTAACCTGACAATGAACATAAAATTACAGGTCTAAGGGATTTTACATGGTAAAAAGAAAGGCGATTGGTTATTTGTTGCTCTAATACTGTGTTCTTCTGTTTTTCCTCTCCTTTTTTCTCCACAGATGAGAACTGCAAAGATAAATACTACAATTGCAATGTGGTGGTTCAGGCCCGGCTCTGTGTCTACACATACTACAAAACAGCATGTTGTGCATCCTGTACGCGGGTGGCAAACAGACAATCAGGGTTTCTAGGACGTAGATAACAAATACTATTCTACTCAAAGCAGCAACATTGGTCTTCAGATGGAGCTTGAACAGTGTTAACTGTTTTGACGGCAGAAGATTTTAGTTTCTTAGAGATGGTTTTTTATATTGCTGAGTACATCAAGACTATGGTTAAATCTCACACCCTTTCAGTTACAGTTATTGTGCAGTTACTGTTTTTTAAAATGTTTATTGTAAAACCATGATCTTATAAAGCATTAATTTTTAGTGATACTATTCTTTGCACCTGCTCATCAAATAATTATTTGAAGAACAAATCAGCCTTAGTATTATGAAATTAATGAAAACTAGATCAATCACAGGCAATTACTGGAGATGTTTGACCGGTATGGGTGCAGCTGCTGCATTTGAGTGCTAACTCTTACTTGCTATTTTCAGCTGCCTTAAATGACTAAATCAATGAAGCATGCACATGAGAAAAATGACTTGACAAGGAAGAAGACCTTTGAAGACACATTTATCATGTTTCTGAGCACTCCAACATATATTTTTAATTATTTCAGTCCATGCATAATAAATTAGTCACTGTTAAGCTCTGTCAATTGTACTTTTAACTAGCTTCCTGTCCTTGGGCAGCAAATATATATACACTTGACTGCCAAAAAGTGCCTTTATATTTAATTCATAAACTCTTAAAGTTACACTTTTCTAATTTTGTGTGGATTTTAAAATAGGTTACCTACCAGAGTGCCACTAATGTCTAGCCCTTTAAGACTTAACAACTGCAGCTGTCCGTGAGACAGATTTACCAGAAAGGTAAAGAGGCTTTGCTGGTTTTAAAAAAATGTGGTTGTTTCCCTTGGCACGGTCTCATTTTGGTAGGGCAGTTACTTCAGTGAACCGGTATCTTGCCTAAAGTCTTGTCTCTGCGCTGTTGCTTAACAGCTACTGTACCAAAGTACTTTATCCAGACCCAATCTGGATAGATCACCAGTTTCTGCAACAACCACCAAAGGATGCATGACTGTGCTTTATAGTAGTCTGTTACTTTTGCTATTAGGCAGTAATACCAGTGTAGTAACTGAGTAGCTGTAAAAAGGTCATCTTAGCTATTGACATTCTTCAGGGTTTGATCAATTATTACAACATACCTGTCTTTTTTTTAGGCAGTGTTTCATCAGGCAGATCTTTTCATACCACTCCTTTTCTACCACTCAAGAATGGCTCCAGACTTAGGTGGAATTTAGGTGATGATTCTTCATTTCTGCAATTACTATATTCAGCCTTGGAACTTGCTAAAAGCAAGTAGAATGTACTGTGCAGTCCAGATGAAAAATTTTGCATTATCTGCACATCCTCTAGCCTTTACTTGAGAGGTCTTTCAAATGTTTAACTAAGGATGAGGGGAAAAAAATACACATCTCTGCTTATTCAGCTGTTTATTACAGTTTATTACATATTGCTTACTAATTAGTGATACCAAACTATGCATCTCTTTCTAAGGTGCCTATTGTCCAAGTTGAAAATTATTTTTGATAATTTATGTTAAATCACTCCCAGTGATGTGATACAACAGTGATTAGGGTGTCTTGTTACTGATGAAGACCATGTTTGAGATCCATTGTGTATTATTTTCTTCTTACTGCTTTTGTGGCGAGGATGTAGGACAGTGGGGCAAGAGAGTATAGAAGAGAGAGGGTGGAGGCAAAGGTTGCTGGGTGTAGTACTAGTCACCTCAGTTTGTGTGCTGGAAGCCAAAGGAATGTGGAACTCCTGTGGTCTAAAAGCAACAAATCTTCACATACAGTACCTAATTTTTGCTGTTGTCTCTTTTGTCCCAAGGAAGTGTGTCCTGTCAGCTTGAGGGAGATAACTGCTTCATAAAAAGGCTTTCTGAAAATCATAAGGTGAATGAAATGCAGAGAGTTAATCAGGTTTGCAATCGTTTCATAGAACTTAAACTGCTTGCACACACTTTTGGCAGTGAGACAGCGACTCAAAACATAGGCAATCCTGGTCTTTTTTTAAAAATATGTTATTTTGCTTTGGAATATATGTCCTTTGGGTTATTTGACAAAGATGATAATGTAGTAGGCTCCACAAAGCGGCCACTAAAGTAAGCAGAGTTCGTGGGAGCTAAATATCAAGGGGCATATACCACTCATACCAATATAACCCTCTATTACAACATAAGGTACACACACCTTTATGAATTCAAAGCAGTGGGTTATGGTTATGCAAATTGTAGCTTTTTATTTCATTAAAGGGACAGTTTTCAGATGTGTCAGATAAAAAAACATTGTTTCATCTAATTAAACATATCATGACAAGGAAAATGCCAGATTTTGCTGGACTTAATAATTTTATCCTCTTTTCTCGTGTCAGCATAGTCAAAACACTTGTTCCTGCAAAATGAACTAATGACCCCTTCTTTTCAGCACTTTGTACTCAGTAAGTGCTACACAAAGATTTCACCTTTACACAAAGTGCACGTTTGAAACTGACTATAGCAAGTGGTTGTTTCAGTAGAGCAGTGCACTGATTTAGGATGATGCCTGCAGAGGGCCTGATCTTAGTTTGACTATAAATCAGAGGTGGCCCTAATGAATGCAGTAGACTTAGAGCAGTCGTAAAACCAATATAATAAGAAATTATGCAGGCTTCTGAGTTTGAATGATTTAATTTCTTTTTCTGATATTTTAACATTGGCCAAACTCCTGCAGAATGGTGGAAAAAAATGCTTCTTTGCCTTAAGTATTTTTACCTTTCACAATACAGTAAGTGTAGGAAGACTGCTGTAGATCATTGATTTAAAGAGTCTTAAGCAATCTAACTGCTTATAGGGTTAAAAGCAGCGTGCAGAATTCATGTCTTGCAAACGTGCAGCTGGCCAAAGTCTGCTCCATCCAGAGCAGACTGTGCCCCAAATCGGTTTCCTTCTAAAATTAAGGACTGCTGGTGCAGTTTTTTATCAAGTTATCAAGGGTCCACCAGGTTTTCTAGCTCCTATGCAGTGTCAGACCCAAGCATATGCAGGTAGAATGGCTTGTGTATAGCAATTGCATGCCAAGTCTGAGAGCATTTGTTAGCAGCACTGAATTCATGGAGTTCCCCCTTTCTCTCACTAGCTGAGGAAACTGAAGAAGACAGTGTGGAAGCATGAGGGTTGCTCCTGAGGGAATGACCTTGTGTTTGACTTGTCCAGCAATGAGACAGAGTCAGTGTTTGCTTTAGTGTATCTGACCCTCAGGGGTCTGAATTACAGGGTCTTGTTAGCAGGCAGTTGAGTACTGGGGAGTGTGGTGTAGGAGACATGGGTGTTTTTGCAAACCTAGTAGCCTTGAAGTCCAGCTGTCGTGTATGCCCCCTGACTCAATGCAGGACTATCTCAGTATCCCTGCATGGGGAGCTGGTGTCTTCCTCATTACCCAGATAATCTGTTCAGCAAATGGAGACCCTTCAGTATGAATAAAGCAGTGATTAACATTAGTACTGTCAGTTAGATCACATTTTTATGACAATATGGTGCGGTTCAGAGTTTGGTCCTTTTATACAGAAAAGAACCCCAATGCAGAGCATGTTAATGCAAGGATGTATTTTAGGTTAGTTGTCCATGGACTTGATAGAGGTGGTCAGTATAGCCCTGACTAGTGAGTATGTGAAAATTCTGGAACAGAAGACCTTATGGGGCAGCAGTATTTGCCAGGACCTTGCTACTTACTTTGCCTGTGTCTGAGTCCTAAAAGATGCCAGTGGTCACTACTGGGGGAGGAAAGAACTGCATGCTAGAAACAGCTTATAGTAAAGGGAAGATTATGCCTCCCTCAAGAAAATACTTGGCTTCCACTCTTTATACCAGCATAAGTAGTAAAATGTGTTTTCTGGGACTTTGCTTTTCTCCATCCTGGCCTGTCTCCCTTGTACATCCACAACTGTTCTCTTTCTTTTATCTCAAGCCTTTGGTCCTTTGGATGGCGATACTCAATTTTACCAGAATTAGTGAAAATCCTGAACTGGCCATTTGGTTGATAAGAATTTGTGTTAGAAATAAGACCAGCTATTAAGAGAGCTGTGTTCCTGCTAGTCCAGTGGGTTTCATGTGTGTCCATGTTGGCTAGTTTTAAATGCACAGTATTGAAATACCTACTGAATTAATTCCTGTGCAGCAGAAACTGTGATTGCACAGCTCTTGAAGTATGTAGTGGCCCTTCATTCTCACATCTAACTTCTATGGCATTAAAAAAAAACAAAAGAGAGTATTCTCTTCACACTCAAAAAGGAAGAACTGTCTCTACTTGGTTTTCTCAAGATTTAGTGTCTCTTAAGAGCTGTTCTGTATATTGGGCAGGTAATTTATGTGTATGTCTGTAATTGGAACACAAAACATAAAATTTTGACCACTGAACTCCCTTTTTTCCCTAAGCTTACAGAATATGTTTGTAGGGGATATATGAGCTGTTGTTTAGAAAAGGGAGTGAAATAGTTATTTCTATATCCAAAATGAAAAGTCGTCCACTAAGAATTGTCAATCTATTTTAAAGCAAACTTGTCATCATTATAATATCTCAGTAGTGTGGATGAAATTCAGACCTGGTGAAAGGGAGGAAATTCCATTTTAAGAGCTCACACCAGACCTTGAACTCGGTTGGCTCCTATCTTCACAGCTTTTAGCAACCGTAAGTTCTTAAGATTGTGAGTTTCCAATCTTCTGTATACCCATTACTAGAACGGTTTAATTCCTTCCAGTGACAGTCACTTCTGCTTTCCCTGAACTGTTTTGTTCTTGCTGTGTTTGGGTCTCTTGAGACCAGTGGCCTTGGCAGGGGTTGAGTACATCCGAGCTTGTGAAGTCCCATCATAGTCACTCAGGATCTACCTAAAGGATCTGGAAGGACTGGAGACAAAAGAAACCTTAACTTTTTTAATATGTATAAGATTGTGTATTTGACCCTCATAATTGATTTTGGCAGAAGGATATACTTTATTATAACTTATTTTGTTGTTATTTGTAAATACAAGATGTCTATGGGAAATATGTAATTCTTAGCTGTGTCTGTGGAACAAGCCACTGCACCAAAATATTTCAAATATTTAGAATGGGCAGATTTTTTTTATTAAAAGGGACCTAACATGTATTTATTTACACATACCATTCAAATTTTGT